CTCAGCTAGAGATTGCGCTGTAAAGTACATTTAATTTATCTGCATAGGCTGAGTCCTCTGACTTGGGGATTATCAAGATTTTATTGCTGTTGCTATTGTATGTTATTAGATTGGTTGGAAGAGGGGGAACAAGTAAATTGTAAGGTGAGATTTCTGGAGGGGTGGCCTGTGGGTAAAATTGTAGTATTTCCAGAATATCTCCCCTGGCTTTAGTACATCTGCATATTAATAGGCATTCCAAGTTGGAAAGAAGTATGGCTTTAGTGCATTTCCATTATTCCTAAAGTGGGGAGAAAAGTTAATCTTCATAGCAATGGGTAAATACCTGGCAAGGGGGGCTTATCTGTACCCAAGAACTGAGGGGAAGGCCAGTTGTTGCCATGTGCTGGAGCAGGAAAGAGAAAAACGGCCCCAGATTGCAGTTTGTGAGAATAAATGGATTTTAAATTTTATTTCTCCCTTTGGCTTATTTTGGTTTTTAGAGGTATTTTGCACTGGATTTCCTCTCCCTGGACTTACACTACCTTCTGTACTAGAGGTAGGCAAGGGAGAAAGGCTTGGGTAAGCCATATATCTCCCCTACTTAAAATCTTTCACTGGTTTCCCACACCCCTCAACGTAATGAAGTTCAACCTTCTTAACATAACATCAAAGGGATCCCTGTCCTGATGTCCCTGTGATAGTTCTAGTCTAACCGTTTGTCCACATTTCCTGTGATTCTCCAAATGGACCATGACCTTTTAGGATTATTGTTTTTGACCATGTTGTTTCCATTTGAGAAAGCTTCTCTTTTTCTTCCTTTCCTATTATTGACCATCCACCCTCAACAAAAACAAAAATACTCAGACACAAAGGTCTAACTCCTGCTTTTCCTTCGAAACCCAGCTCAAAGGACATCTCCTCCAGGAACCTTGATTAGTTCTCTCCTCATAATATTTGAGTTTTTGTTTGTCTCTCCTTCAAGACTGTGATGCTCTTGAAGGTCGTCTAAGTCCCCACTTCTTAGCTCAGTGTCTGCTGCCCCACTTTATGTTTTAAAGATAAGCTTGACTTACTCAATTTTGAGAGTTTCTTTATTCTGAGACCCTCTTTCTATATGTTGAGTATAAGACCATAGCGATACTATGTTGAAACAATCAAAATTTTCCTTCCTTCCCTCCTTCCTCCCTCCCTCCTCCCTTCCCTTCTCTCTCTCTCTCTCTCTCTCTCTCTCTCTCTCTCTCTCTCTCTCTCTCTCTCATTCTTTCTTTCTCCTTCCTTCTTTCCTTCCTCTTTTAAACTCTCCTGGAAATCTGATGTTTTAATGAATAAATCCTGAAGTGTGATACAAAATTTATTGTTTCTGAACATTTCTCTGTAAACAGGAAGCAGGGTGTAGATGGTGGGGGTGGGTAGGAGTTCTGGTCTGTGTAAAGGAAAATGGTGATTAATGATGCAATAACGTTTTTAAACACTGTAAGATCCCCAAATTCCCCTTTTACCATTTGCTGAAAAAAGAGTTCTGTCTTTGGCCCCCTTCCTCCCTTCCTCCTTTCCCGGCGGGCTTGCGGGGACTTCCCCCGCCCTCAGTGGTCATGATCCTCCCGCTCCTCCCGCCCCTCCTCCCTCTTCTCCTTCCTCAGGGACAAAGCCGGAGGGAAGGGAGGTGGGCGGAGAAGACCCGCAAGGCCAGGGCAGAGGAGGACTTTGTTGGAGAGCTCGGAGGAGGAAGGAAAAAAGCAAGCTGTGGGCTGTGAGATAAGTGGTGAGATAAGCAGATTTCAATAGTTATGGCGTGGACTACAGCCTTCCAGAGTACCCAAATAATACAAACAAAGGAATTTAGTTTTCACTTTCAATTACAGGTTGGTTCCTGGAGAGTGTTCTCTGAGCTCACATCATCGTAAAGCTCAGCGTCATGGGTCATGTCTCCACAGGGTTGTCCTTGGCCGTAGTAAAGGGTACTGTCCACACCTTTCTCTCAAAACAAAATCTTGGAATCTCAATAACATACACTCTGCCACAACATTCATGGAGGTGGGGGCGGGGCGTGGGGTGCAAATGTGTCACATGCATAAAGTAAAATGCACAGAACCTATATGTAAAATATGACAAATGATTATATGCACACACCTGTGTAATCTCCACACAGATGAAGACGTTAAGGTAGTATTTGTCCTTTAGCCAATCGCTCCAAATCTTTACCAGGTCATAACCTTCTACTTCATCCCCCACTCCCACTTCATAATAATTCTGCTTCTGCTTCCCTCTCTTCCTCTCCTCTCCTTCTTGCCCTCCTCTTCCTGTTCCTTCTTCTTCTTTTTCAATCTGCAATGTTCCCTCAGGGGCCTTCACTTTTAAAATCCCTTATTGGTAATGAATTTGGGCACTGTTACAAGTTTGCCACTTGGATTTTTTTTTATGAAGTACACACCCCCACCCCAACTGCCACCCAATACCGTGGTGATTTTCCCATAGGTCTGTCTGTCTTTTTCTTCTTGTTTTGCAAGCATACGTTACATAACTTGGGTACCAGTTGGTTATGCTGATTGAAAATACATCGCCCAAACCATGACTTGTCTTTTTACTCTTTATTGTGTGTTTTGATGAACAAAGATTCTTGATGTCGTCAAATTGATCTGTCTCTTCATTTAGAATTTGTCTTTTTTGCCTTATTTTTTTAAATCATGGAAATACCCTGCTACATAATACCAACTAAAATAATTTTTTTTGTTTCACTTCACGTTTAGTTGTTTAATCCTCACTGAAATGATTTTGGTTATGGCAGAGGTGGAGGCCATATTACTTCCCCCTGCCTACCCTCTGAGTGCATGTGATGGAGTTATACGCTGTAGTAGTTGTACATTTATGTTTGTAATACTGTAAGTCCGGGGATTGGAAATCCCAGGGAAATATACCTTTAAAAACCAAAATCAGTCAAAGGGAGAAATAAAGTTTAAAACCCGTTTACTGCTTCAAACTGCAGTCCAGCGCCGGCTCTCTTTCCCCTGCTCCAGAAGAAGCAAGCAAGCAAGCCCCTCCTTTTGGCCTCTCAGGTTCAGACACACCCTCAGTTGACCAGGCAATTGCCAATTGAAGTGGAGATGAACTTATGTCTACCCCTGAGGATATGCAAATGCATCAAAGCCAGGCCAAGTATTCTGGAAATGTTACAATTTTATCCACAAATACCTTTGTGTTTTGAACCCTCAGTTTAGCCCACTTTCTCTGAAAAGCCCACTTTTTCATTTTTGTATATGCCAAATAAACTAAATTCTCCTGATAATTCTCGTGGTTTGTCTTTCATGTATGTAAATAATTATGGTTTTCATTTTCATCTTCACATCTCATACCTTTTCTTTCTCTTTCTTGCCTTTCCTCACTGGCTAAGATCTCCATCACAATAGTTGTGATGAGAAGTTGTCACAATAGGCCTATTTGTTTGCTTGCTGATTGTTCCTCGTTGGGAAGCGTGGGGGTGGGGCGTTAAGTCAGTATTTAATCATCAAATATAATGTTTGCTGAAGGTTTCTGTCTGTTTTTTGTTTTGGAAGCCACCCTTAGCAGATTTGGGTCCTTCTCTTTTATTCCTATTATGTGCAGAGGTTTTCAAGAATCATAAATTGATGCTGAAATTTTGTCCAATGTCTTTTCTGTGTTTTAGTGACTGTGACTTAAGCTGTTAAGACTATCCTTTAAGTTGTTAATGTGGTGAATTAGGTTAATTTATTTTCTAATGAAAATCAACCATTGTCCCCAGTTAAGACCAGTTTTGTCACGATATATTTTTAAACATATGGTTGGATTCCATATTTTAAGAAAATTTGCAGCTATGTTCAGCAATAAGACAAGCCTGTAGTTCCTGCTTTCCACATTGCCTTTTTTGTGTTTTTGACTTCAATACACAGTGTTGAACTCATAAAATAAGTTGGAGAAATGTACTGTCTTTTAGTTCTTTTAGAATTTACTTGGGTTAGAGTCATTTCCTCTAATGAACTTTTTTGGTCCTTGACCTTTCACTGTGAGGAGATTTTTGAATTCTGGTCTAAAAAATGTAAGGCTTGTAGGACTCAACCATCTGCCCCACCCGCCGCTCCTTCCCCCACCTCGCAAAAATCATTACTGGAACTCATCCATTTCCTCTAAATTTTTTCTTTGGTTGGCATATGTGTCTTTATGATATTCATTTGTTGTTTCATCATGTCTATGACATCCCTTTCGGCAGGGATGGTGGGGTGGGGGGCCCACACCTTAATGTAGTGAGGACCTCCTATATGACTTCTCAGGTTAGCTTGGAACTACCTTTATTTTTTGCACTGGCACATGCAAATGTTAATGACAAGTTTGCCATCTACCTTTAGTTTGTATTTTTTAAAGGTACCAACAAGTTTTCAAACAACAAAAAACACCTCTTAATCGAAATGGAAATAGATTGTATTCTCGCACTTTGAAAACTGTACCTTTATAATCACCGGGATTGCAAACATTAATTTAGAATTCCTGGACACACCAGAGAAAGGAAGCATGGTGAGAACCTCTGTTGCCACTTGCCCACTGGCCTCCTGGAATCAGTGTCCCGCACCTCCAGCACTCCCATGCTTCATCTACCAGCTCTCCCTTAAAAAGCAGCCTCCTGGTGCCACACTGCCCACAGGCCCTAGGTCTGAGCACAAAATGTTTTTAAAACGTAACTTTTGCCCTCTGTTTGGCCAGGCAAGGAAGAAAGAGACACAAACCCCACAGGTAGGCTGAGAGATACTTGGGCAAGGGGTTCTGGGGTTCTTTGCACACTGGGTAGGCCTATGGGGGAGGTGGGACATGGGCTCCATGTGGAAATGTCCTCTTGGCTCCACATAATCTTTACCTAATGTAACGAGGCAGGGGTCGAAAGAGGGCCAGAGTGGGGCACATCTCCCACTGTGGCAGGTCTCTTCTTCCCTGGCTCCAAGCACAGTATTGGGTAGACCGGCATGTGAAGGATGCAAGCGCCAACATTTTCCCAAGCAACAGTGATGTACTTATATTGTTGTTGCCAACCATTTTATTAGGAAGGTGTGACCTCAGAACAGAAGAAAATGGATGAAGAAAACAGAAGAGAGTGGAAACTACATCTCAGTTTCAGTCAGTCATCCAGGGTATTGTGCCAATTGTTCAGAGCCCTTAAACTGAGATGGTAGCAAGCCAGGAAACTTTGCCTTCGAGGGTTTGATCGCTGGGAAGATTTTGTTAAAGGTATTTAACATTGGTAGGTTGGCTGCAAGGTGAGTGGATGAAAGAACAGTTCCTATCCTACAGAATCGCCAAGGATATGTGTGTGAGAATATTCTCTGCGGCGCTCGTTTTGATAATAAAACAGCAGAACCAATTTGTTACTCAACAATCAGGTAACGTATAAATGTATATTCGTATTATTCCGACAACGAAAACGGCGTTGTTCAAAGTTAGGCAATCCTGACGATTCGGACGATGTTACTGATGGAAAATAATAAGAGATCACAATTACTGAGCATTTGTGGCACTCGTACAGGCATTTCCTTATTTGACGCTCAGAGCAAGCCAAGGAAATGTGTACTCCCGTCGCGGAGGCTGAGAGGTTCCGCCGCTCAAAAGGAAGGTAGGCTCCGGAGGAAGGCCAGGACAGAACGCGAGGAGGCGGAGCAGGTGGGGGGCGGGGTGGAGGGGGAGCGGGGGCAGGGCCGCAGGTGAGACGTCGCAAGCATCTGGATAACCCGGGTGGAGAAAGGGCACCCTTACTCCACAAGCCTCTCAGCGACCACAGACGTCCGGAATGCCTCCTTCGCTCTTGTCTCAGGTGAGACGCTGCAGGGCGCATCACCGTAGACCATTTCTCGTCTCTCCAAGGCGCTCAGAGGGAAGGATGGGCTGACGGAAGCGTCGCTGGGAAGTGGTCCAGCGCGCAGAGCCCCGGTTTCTGCTGGATCGTTACCCGGGTGTCTCTTCTGCGGAAGAGCGGAGTCTATACGGGAGTCTATGCCTGCTGTTCCCTGATAAGCAGTTGGGAGGGACGCCAACTTGGCCAGCTCCGTGGGCGGTGGCGACCGTGCAGGCCTCTCGACGAGGAGCTCGGAATCCAGGCGCCTGAGCCGGGCCCCTCGAAGGGCCGGGCTGAGAGAACAAAGCAGCAAGGCAACGGGTTGCGTCCCTGTCCTGCCGTGCTGCGAAAACGTTGACCCGACTTCGTCTGCAAACACTGGGGAGGCGGCTGGGTCATTTCCGTGGGTGGGGGTGGGGGTGGGGGTGGGGGTGAGGGCGGCGGCGGCTTACTGTCCCCAAGGACACAGCTGCGGCGGAAGAGGAGGGAGAGGCGCGCAGCAGCTGGCTAGCCCCGGCCGGGAAAGGGCGCGCCGGAGTCGCGAGCCTCGCTGCGACAGCGGGCCTCGGGGCCCCCCTTGTTCCCGGGAGGGCTGTGTTCTTCCGACCTGGCCCCAAAGCGACTGTGGAGCCAGAGGCCTCGGCGCCACGTCTCCCGCACTCTCCCGCAGACACACGGCCAGCCGCCGGGCGGGAGGAGATGGCACCTCTCGGACAGACTGGAGGCGTGGCCGGCAGAGCCAGTAGGGCACCACGGAAAACAGGTCGTCTCTCTTGAGCCCAGGGACACCCGGGGAGAGCGCGAACGCGGTCCCCAGCTAACAAACACTGCGCAGTCGGGTGTCCCACTTGTGCGGAAATCGCAGGCGTCAGCACGTCCGGTGCAGTGGACGAGCCCGGCCCTGGGGAAGCCACCTTCGTGATCATGGCATCTCCCCCTGCCAGGTAGGCATGAGCGCATTCCCTGCAAGCGCAGTGCGGCCTCCCATCCTCCACCGTTCACTCAGAGTCACCGCCCAGCGCTCCACCTGGCCCTGGCCGTCCTTCCGAGCCGCTCTCCCAACAGGGACTCGAGCGACGTCCCCGCGCGCACGGCGCATCAGACTGACCGCCGTTCCGCCGCGCGGCCCCCGGCCCGCTGACGCCACCGGCTGCCGCTGGGGGCTCGGTCCACGTCCCCTCCCCGGGTCTCGCCCGCTCTCCTCTTGCCTCACGGGGGGCACAGCGTGCATCCCGATAGGTCTGCGGAGCGAGTGTCGAAGGGAAAAGGGAAAACGTGCCCAGTGCTTGGTGGAGTCTACAGGGTTTAAACGCAACAGCCGTCGTAGAATTCGACTACGGTACCATTTGACTGTGGTACCACTGCTTTGACATTCGTGTGCTGATTTTTACCCCTACCCTCTGCTTCTGGCAGCGCTAACAGTTTCCATTTTGTGCATACGGCACACGCTGCCTTTGTTGGGTCCGCTACCATCACCTCTCTACACACGCGGGGCAGCCCTCGGGCCCTCGGGGACCAGACCTACCGCTCCCCGCTCACCTTGCTTTCAGCCCTCGCGGGTTTCGCCTCCAGGCGGCCTTTGTGAAGGCCGCAGAAGCATTTCATCTGCGCACGGAGCTGAGGAGGCTGGGGAGGCTGGGCCGAGCGGCGCGTTTGCAGGGTAGGCACGAACCGCACGCCCGGGCGTGGCGGCTCTCAGTTATTCGGAGCTCTCAGCACGCCCTGCGCCCCTGGGGCGGCAAGGAGCGTGGGCTTGGGGGCAGCCCCACAGGGATGGGAACCTGAGCACCTCTGCGTAAACCTGAGCAAGATGCTTGACAGCCCCCTAAAGCCTCTTTTGCGGGAGGCCGTTACGGAGCTACGCAAGAGCCTCGTGCCCGAAGAAGCGGCCGGCGGACGTTCGCCCTCGCCCACTGGAGTTGAAGACTCGGCGAGGGGACCACAGCCACGTGGAGCAACACGCAGGGGTGGAAAGGAAGATTCTCCGGGTGCGGGTCGGCCACGCAAAAGACAGTTCCCTGACCGGGAATCGAACCCGGGCCGCGGCGGTGAAAGCGCCGAATCCTAACCACTAGACCACCAGGGAGATGGCGGCCAGGGGCTTCCCCTGTTTCCCTAAAATCACACTGCCATGTCTTCCCACGTCCCCACCGCGGGAGGTCTGGGCGTCCGCCGGCGTTTGTGGGTGCCGGTAGAGGCTGCCCTTCGTCCCAGGAATCCCTTAAGACCGGTCCTTCCCTGCTTTCTCCAAAAGCGAGCCCGCAGGCTACGCACTGAGCGCCCGCCACACCCGCCAGACGCACAAGCCCCCGGCGCGCGTTGCCTCGTACCCGCCGCCGCGCCGCGCCGCGGACCTAACTGCCCTGGAGATGCGACTTTGCGAGGCGAGGCAGCCGCGCGTGACCGGGGAGCGGACGAGGTTGCAGGGAGGAGGCGGAAGGAGAGCCGTCGGGGAGAGACCCCAATGCCCAACACCATAAAGGGCTCTGAGGGATGCGGGAACGCAGTCGGCGTGGATGGAAAACGCTTTCCAGCAAGGCTCGGCGGGCCTGGACGGAATTGCGGAGGTTCCCCGTACACCCTGCCGCGCCGGCGGTTCCCGGCAACTCCATCCTTCTTCAAGCTCAGGCCAGACAGAATCTTACGAGTTCTCTCGGATGCCGGCGTTTTCCTCAGACGCCACAACCAGTCGGTCAGGAACTCGTGTTTTCTCCGCTGTCAAGTGTGTGGACGTTGACCCACAGCAGGCGTTTTCAACTTCCGCAGTGCTGCTATTCTGGATGGGATCTTTCTCGGTGGGGGAGGGCTGCGCCCGCGGCTTGCAGGACAGGATGTCCAGTGACATCCCTGGCCTCTGCTGACTAGACGCCAGGGGGGAAACTCTCCCTCCCCTCCCACTTCCCCCAGTCGTGACAACCAAAAACGCCTCCAGGCGAGGCCTAGTGTCACAGCGCGGGGGCGGGGGGTGGGGGCCCAAATCTCCCCCGACTGAGAACCAGCGATGTGCACAGTCCCTGCTGTTCCTGGTCTCTGAACCTGTGCAGACCACTCCCCGGATCAGGGCACAGGGGTGGATTCAACCCTGGGCCCCCACCCACGCGGGCCAGCCAGGAGGAGGGCTGGGTCCGCTGCGTTGAGGTCCCCCTCGCCCTTTGTGGAACTCCCCACCACCTTGGATTCAACCTGCAGAGAAGCTTCACGGGCCTCTCTATTCGGCTTCCGCGGGCATCCCCGAGGAGCGGGTGTCCCCAGCACGGGGAAGAACGCCGCTTGATTGTGGTGCCCGACCTCCACCCCCGCACGCGCAGCCTCCCGGGCTCCCCCTGGTCCCAGCAGCGGCAAGTCCCGTCCTGGGCCGGCCTGAGCTCCGCCGAGACGCCCAGACCGGGAGGGATACCTGGGGGAAACCAGCTGAAAGTTCCTGCAGTCCTTCCCACGAGGGACCCCGAGAGGGTCCTGAGGGGAATGAAAGGCGGCGAATCCTCTCTTACCGGGTAGGCGGAAGAGAAGAAAAAGCCGATGAGGGTTCAGGATCTAGACTTACCCGTGAAGTCGACCTCTTCGAGAACCGCGTCCTTCCGCGGCTGGTGAAGGTGAGTGGGGTCCCTTGTCTCCAGTCTGCCAAACAGACACAGCGGACAGCGACGGCCCGGCCCGGACGCCGGTGAATGGGCAATCCCCAGCCTTCCCAGCCGGTAGTACTTGAGCTTCCCTGTACCAGATTTCCTTGGATCCCAAGGAGGCAACTGAATACTTTTTATTTTCACAACTGCTCTTTTTTGAGGGAAGGATCGATCTGATGGGAAGCACGTAGGAAAAACACTACAGTAAGGAAAGCAACTCTTGTTGAGATGGTCGCATTCCTCTCCCATCCCCTTAACAATTAATTGCACCAATTAGTAGGTGAATGGATAAAGAAGATGTTGTACATATACACAATGGAATATTATCCAGCCATGAAAAGAAAACACATCTTGCCATTTGCAACACCATTGATGGAGCTATAGAGGGTATTATGCTCAGTCAAATAAGGCAGGTGGAGAAAGACAAGTAACAAATAATTTCACTCATTTGTGGAGTACAACGAAGCAAAACGGAAGGAACAAAACAGCATCGGACTCACAGACTCCAAGAATGTCTAGTGGTTACCAAAGGGGTTGGAAAGGGTGTGTGGGGAGGAAGGAAGAAGGGGAGTAAGAGGCAATATAATTAGCACTCACAATAAAGGTTGGTCACGGGGAAGGCAGTATGGCATGGAAAAGACAAGTAATGGCTCTACAGCATCTTGCTACACTTATGGACAGTGATTGTAATGCGGTGTGTGGGGGGGACTGGATAATATGGGTGAATGGTAAGACCACAATGTTGCTCATGTAAAACCTTCAGAACATTGTATATCAATGATACTTTATTCTAAAAAAATTAATTGCACTTTCCCAGGTCACTTTTAATGCACATGTAGTGGAATCTGAGCGGAGTCTAGGAGGTTCATGGTCGAACCTGGGAGGTATAGGAACTTGAAGTATGTTGGTCATTTTTATGTAAGCATGCATTCTAAACACAAACAAACAAATGCTTCTAGCTCACCTGGACCTTTTCTACAAAGGTGGTAAATAATAACTTACAAACAGATGGAAAATGCCATAAAATGGCCTTAAGTGCTTGTCGTTTCCACTGAAGTTCTTCTCTCCCGGATATGCTCATCAGTGTGTTCACTGTCTCCAAAATCGGACATGACCTGAAAATCAGGTTTCTGGTTCCAGCCTATTCCCTTTTTCTTCTTTATCTCTGCCTCTTCCTCATTTTCTTCCATATGCAGAAAAAGTCATCTATCCCTCAGCCTCCAGTTTGCAACATCACACCCCATGATACGTTTAGCAATTTGGGGACCCTCCGTGGGACTCCACCTCTCTTAGAAAGAAGAGGAAATTGTAAATAGCACAAAGTTTGTACATTTCACGGTTAGAAATAACTACAGAAAACTTCTCCTAAGCTCAAAGGCCTGAAAAGTGAGCTAACTCCCTCCCTGTCACCACATATGGGTCCCCCAATGCCACTCAGTGGAAAACCCAGATTCCAGTGTTGAATTTTGTAGACTTTTTGCAAGTTCAGCCACCCTGCAGGCAACTGGAGATTGATTCTCCCCAGAGGGTACAATAGAGGTCTTCGGCCACAAGGGGGCAACCAGTGCGTGTGAGGGAGGGCCTGTGTCCCACGCTGAAATGAGAGGAATGAAGTGACTGCTTGT